CCCCCCCCGGGCCTTTCCCATAGACTATGATCGCATGGTGAATGGCGTCTGGGCACAGGATTTCCCCCTGCTCCCATCGGCCGGAGTCGATGGCCCATATGCCTCCCGGCCGCCGGCCCCCTTCTTCGGGGGATTGGTTCGTTTCTTGCAGGTCCTCCTCCCGCCGTCGACCATCCACTTCATCGAGCGCCTGAGGCTGTACGATTTATCGGGCGCATGCGGGCATTTTGTCGCCTCGGTTCCGGGTTATCACCCAGTCGACCCGGTTCTTTTCCCGGATCTCATCCGGCATCACACGCCGACTGGGGCGGCGGCGGCGGCGGCTACACGCACGGAGCCGGTCCCGCCTGCCGGGCCGCCACGGCGCCGGGCCGGCTGCCACGCGCGCGTCTTCGACGAGGCGAATGCCCATATCGAGGGCCACCGCGCCGGGACCGGGGCCGTTGGCAGGGGCGCCCAGGCTGGCGTGCAAGCTGGCCCCCCCCAATGGGGGCACCTCATGCTGCGGCAGATCCTCCAGGACACCTTCAATCCAGCGGCCATTGACTACCCGGATGGCCGTCTTCGGAGCCCGGCAACCCTGGACCAATGTATGTGCTCCTCCCCCCTCTCGGTCTCTCGCTCCCTGTGTCCCCGTTTGCCCCTCATTTTCGCGGACCCCCCTCTTGCTCTCCCTCCCCTTCGGCATGCTCATCCCGTCTCCCGGATCCAATCTCCCTCCTCCCCTCCCTCTCTCTTCCCCCTCCCCCCTGCCCCACACGGTGCTCCAACAGCTCGTGTGGTCTGTCAGTTCTCCTCGATGGGCTCCCTGACGGAATCCTGGCTGCGGGAGTTGTCGGAATCCTTCTCCGCCTTTCGGCCGTCCAATCAACTCCCGATCGACCAACCAGCCGCCCTGTGCGCCACATTCCGCCCCTTCCCATGTCCTCGCCTTGGCTGCCGCCAGCCGGCAGCGCGTGCCCATGCCCCCGTGTTCCATCTCCGCCAGGCTGACTGATTCCCCCGCCGGAATGCCCCCTGCCCAGCGACATGGAATTTGTCATCCCCACCGAGCGCGTGGTTCTCGAGTCGATCGGCAGCCGGCTGTCTGGCTTCTCGATCCCCATCCGCCAGAAGTCCCACATCCCTCTGCTACGAAACTACCGGGGGGTACGTGCATGGGGCGCCTGCCTTCGCCATCGTGCTCGTCCGGCATCCTGCCCCCTCTGACTCTCCTCTCCGCGGTCTGTTTGCCCGTCCTTTCCCCCTGTCCCCGTCGTGTCCCGCAGCGTGATCTCTATCACCAATACGATGGCGGGGCCCTGGGCCTTTATCGCCGACACATGCCGCACCTGAAGACATTCATCCGGTATCGTCTGACCCCGGAGCATGTCACCCTGCCACGCGCTTCGCTGGCCCTGGACCCCGAGCTCTGGGGCCCGGGGCTTGATCATCTGGATGGCCTGGGGCAAACCACCATCGAGTGGGTCCTGCTCACGTCGGCCAACATGTCGCGCGCGGCCTGGGGGCAGGTTCAATTCCAATCGCGCACGGCCTCAGTCCGGTGCATGATTCGCAGCTACGAAGCGGGAGTGCTCATCACGCCGGAGCAGCTGAAGGCCCACGGTGCGCGTGCCACATCTGGCCGAGTCTCGCCTCTCTTCCTGCCTTCCCCTTCGTGCCACTCATCCCCCCGCCGCTCCCCTCCTCGATGCGATTGGCTGCGGCATAGGTCACCGGCTGTGGTCCTTCTCGTGCACTCCCTCGCGGCCGCTGCATCCGGCGCCAGTTTGCCCGGGGGACAACATCAAGGACGAGCCTGGGACAGGCTCCCCCTCCTGCTCCCCCTCCTCCTCCTCCTCCTCCTCCTCCTCCTCCTCCTCGAGCTTTCTCTCAATGCCCTTCCAGATGTCCAGCATGGTCCCCCGCCAGGATTTGCTCCCGCGATTGGATGGCTTCCTTGCCCCAGCCGATGCCGCCGAGCCGGCCCCGGCCGGGATCGCCCCCACCACCAGGGACTCCCCTCCTTCACAAGATGCCGGCGCGGCACTCGCCAACATCAAGGGCGAACCATGCCAATCGCATCCTGCCGGCGCTTGGCCCGCGACAAAAACAACCCCAGCCCAGGTCCTGGCCGAGGCCCTCCCTCCAGGCACCTTCCTCCTTCCCTTGCCGTATTCGCTGCCACCGGCCCCGTACCAGCAGGGTCAGCGTGCGTGGGCAGTTGATCTCACCTGAGACCGAGATCACGCCCCACACGCCATCATGGCACCTTCTAGAATTGACTACGCACCTGGCGCGCGTCGTGCTGGGCGGGTGGGGGGTGGGGGGGGGGGGAGGATGCGCATGGCTGGGCAGCGTGTGTGGGGTAATGTGGCAGCGGTGGCGGGTCAGGGGGGGGGGGCGGGCGGAGCGCGAGAGTTCGCTTTTCTTCCTTCCCTTTCTTCCCGGCTCCGTCTTTTGTCTGTCGGGCACCAGTGAGGGCGGGGGATCCGTTGCCAGTAATCGCCAGTCAACGTCGTCCCCCTTTCGGCCCTCTTCCCTCATCCCGCTTGTTCGCCCCCGCCCCCGCCCCCCCCCCCCCCCCCCAGGGGGCTGGCCGGCGCCGGAGCCCACGTACCAGCGCAGCCTGTCCCAGGCGTGCGCACATCCAGGCCAAACTAGATCCGTCGCGGGCGGATCGTCATGAGGGCATTTGTACGCGGCTGAGGAGCCCGACGAAGGCCGCCCCCGGCGCGTCAGACGACGTGCAGGCTGGCGGCAGCCCTGGAAAGCCAGAACATACTGGAACAAAGGACAATTGGCGGGTGGTGGGCGCGTGTCCGCCTTCCACGCTAATCGAGGTGATTGTGGAGATTCCTTCGGGAGAGGGGGGGGGGGGGGCGGGGGGCGGGGCCTCTGGAGGTCACCACTGTTGGGCTGGGATGTGTGGACAGGCCCTTGGCCGTGTGCCTGTCCGAGGGCAGTGGCCGGCTCCCGTCGGCCAGTCTGTGGAGCCTGCCGCCTAGAGCCTCGGGAAAAACGGCCGTCAGTCACGGCGTCGGCTCGGTGAGTTTGTGTGGGTGTGCCCGAGGCGTCTGGGCCGGGTCCGCGAGTCGCTGCTCTTCTGTCTCGAGGCCTGGCAGATGGATGCACGCGCGGGCGGAGCCCTCGCCGGGTGGGGCTCGCGGCCCCCTGGTGCGTCCTCCCCGTTGTCCCCGGGGGGCGGAGGGGCATGGTACAGCCCCACCCCCCCCGGCCCCAGCCCTTCTCATCTCTCTGGGTACTTGCCGTTGGGAAGCCCCTTTTTTTCTTCCCGGGACCACGCTGGATTTTTCTTCACGCTTCGCCCGCGCGCCCGAACATGCGCCGGAGGGGGGGCGAGGGCGGGGCCGACATTTTCCAGCCCTAGGGGCCATGGGGGCGGACGGCGCGAGTTCGCAGCATCCGTGCGGTTGGGTGGTCTAGCTTCCTCACTCTATGACCCTGTCACTCTTGCTCCCTGGCACTGAGCAGAGGCGCCGGTGCGCCTGACGACACGCACGCCGTACTCACGGGTGGGGGACCTGAAGGTGCCTGTGTCTGCGTGTGTGGGTGTCAGAGGGAGTACAGCCCTTTCCGCGCGGGTGGACCCGGCAACGGCCCGCTCCGTGCCACCCCCCCGCGTGTGTCTCTTGTGTGTGTGTGTGTGCCTGTGCAAGTGTGGGGTCGGGGCCGCCTTTTTCAAGGGCGTGCCTTGTGGGGCGGCTCCTCTGGGGCCGCGAAATCTAAATCGGCGGAATCCCTCTCTCCCCCACCCTCTCCCCTCTCCCTCTCAGAAGAACTCACCGCTTCTGGTTCGTTTCCCATCTGTCCCCATCTCTCTCTCTCTCTCTCTCTCTTTCCTTCCTGCCCTTATCCCCCATGTGACGTTTGCGCCCGGGGTCGAGCCGGCTTCGACACGCGGTCACACCCGCGCGACGATGTCTCCTCTCCCCGTCGCACCGTGTCGCTCCGCCCCTGGAAACCCAAGCCCGGCTCCTCCGGGGCCCGTGTGCTGTGCATGATTGTGTCGCCTGCCTCCCTATCCCCCCCCCCCCTCCCCCGCCCTTTATCTCACTGTTTACTGATGCTCCCTCCGTTTCCACACTCTCATCTATATCTCCTCGGTCTCTGACCCCGCGTATCTGTGCCCCTGCTTCGTCTCCCCCTCCTCCAGATTCTCCGTACGACCCCCTTCCTCCCCTTCACCCATCCCTTGCACCATGCCTCCCTGCCTCCCCTTTGCCCTCCATGCGTCTCTCCTCCCTCTAGACTTTCCCGAGTGCTGTGTCCTCTCCCTCTCCCCCTCCTTCTCTCCTGTGTCCCCTGTTTGCCAGTGTTCTCCTTCCCCCCATGTGTGTTTGTCCGTCTTGCCACTTTCCCTCTTTAAGTGGTGTTTGTGCTGTGTGCCCCCCCTCCCGATATCCTCCCTGTGACAATCCTCTCCCCTGCGTCGCTTCTCCCTCCTCCTCCTCCTCCTCCTCCTCCTCCTCCTCCCCCAAAGTGCGACCTACCCCACCTGTGCACACACAAATGCACACGCATGTGCACGCACACACACACACATTTTTTCAGACACGCACACGCACTTCCATCCCTCCTCTTCTCCATCCCCCCACCTACCCAACCCAGATGAGTTAGTCACTGATCTTCTCCTCTCCGGCTTGCTCCTTCTCCCTCTCTCCTCCATCGTTGTGGTCCAATGCCATGGCGAACCCCCTTCTCCCCTTCTGCATTTCCTCTCCTTTCGGATGCTCTCTCCTCTCCTCCCCCCCTTCTCCTCCCCCCTCTTTCTCTCTCCCTCTCCCTCTTTCTCTCTCCCTCTCCCTCTCTCTCTCTCTCTCTCTCGCCCCCAGGCCACGCCGAAGGCCTTCCTCCTCCATCCCTCTCCTTCCCCCACCCAGTGCAAGCATGGCGTGCGGTGAAGGGGCGTGGTGCCAGGCGCTTTCCACCGTGAAGACCTCGATCCAGGGATTCCTGGCGAGCCAGCGCGTGAACAGCCTCGACACCCTGCTGGCCAATCCGCTCTTCCTTGCCCTTGTCGGCTCGCTAGTTGGGCTGCTCTTCACTCTCTGGCATCGACGCCAGGCAGCAGCGGGAAGCGGATTCCCCTCCTTCCGGTTCTCGGCCAATGCCAATGACGATCCGCTTGCCAGTCGCGACCCGTCTCTGGTTTGTTTTCTCCTCCCCTCCTCCCTTGTCGAGTGCTGTCCTGTCCCTCTCCTGCTCTCCCCCTTCCTCCGATCTCCTCTGGGCGCACAGGCCTCTTGTGGCCCATTTCTCTTTTTCCGGCCGACACTGACCTTGCTCCCAACCTCCTCTTCTCCCTCCTCGCCCCCTCTTCCCCGCCATATAGACTGCCCATAACAGAATGGCTGCCGTTGGTGTTGATCTTGGTACCTACAAGACCGTCATTGCCGCCGCGCGTAACCGCGGCATTGACATCCTGGTCAATGAGGTCTCCAACCGCTTTACTCCGTGCGTCTCTTTGCCCGCTCCTTCTCCCTCTACGCTCCCCCGCCTCGCCCCCCCCCCCTATCCTCCCCTCTCTCGCTCTCGTTCCCTCTCTCGTTCTCTCGCTCTTGTTGCCCTTCCACGTCTCACACGCTCATCTTCCCCCCCCCCCGCCTCTCTCATCCCCCAACAGCACCCTCGTCGGTTTCACCCCGACCAACCGTGTCCTCGGTGAGACCGCCAAGGCTGGTGAGGTGATGAACGCCAAGAACACCGTCGGCAACATGAAGCACCTGATCGGTCGTTCTTTCAACGATCCCGCCGTCCAGGCCGAGGCCGAGCACGTCACCTGCAACCTGGTCGAGATGCCGGACGGCTCTCCCGGCGCGTCGGTCAGCTTCCTCGGCGAGCAGACCGAGTTCGACTTCACCCAGCTCCAGGCCATGCTGCTTACCAAGGTCAAGCAGACCGCCGAGGCCGAGCTGAAGAACTCGGTCGAGCTGGTCTGCCTCACCGTGCCGGCTCACTACACCTTCCGTCAGCGCATTGCCCTGAACAATGCGGCCTCCATCGCCGGGCTGAAGGTTGCCCGCCTGATGAGCGAGCCCGCCGCCTGTGCCCTGCTCTACGGTATCACCCGCAAGGGTGAGCTCCCCGAGGAGACCGAGGCCCCGCGCTATGTTGTCTTCGCCGACATGGGCCACACCGCCTTCACCGTGTCCGTGGTGAAGTTCACCCAGAAGGAGGCCTCCATCATCGGCATGGCCACCACCACCGCCATCGGCGGGCGCTTCTTCGATAGCCTGCTGGTCCGCCACTTTGCGGCCATCGTCCAGGAGAAGCACAAGTACGACATCTTCGAGAACAAGAAGGCCATCCTGCGCCTGACCGTGGCTTGCGAGCGCCTGAAGAAGATCCTTTCTTCCAACCCGATCGGTGCCCTGAACGTCGAGTGCCTCACCGACACCATCGACCTGAGCGCCATGCTCAAGCGCGAGGAGTTCGAGGCCATGATTGGCTCCCAGATTGCCGTCGTCCACGAGACCATCGCCGCCGCCCTGGCCCAGGCCAAGATCACCAAGGCCGAGGTCAACTTCGTCGAGCAGGTCGGCGGGTCCATCCGTGTGCCCATCGTCAAGGAGCACGTCCAGAACTTCTTCGGCAGCGAGGTCACCTTCTCGGCCACCCTGAACTTCGATGAGGCCGCTGCCCGTGGTGCCGCCTTCCAGTGCGCCATGCAGTCCCCGATGTTCAGCGTCCGTGATTATGTCGTCCGCCAGACCGTCAGCCATGACATCGCCCTGCGCTGGACCAACCCCGCTGGCGAGGAGATGACCCGTGTGGTGCTCACCGCCGGCGAGCAGTTCCTCGGCAAGAAGCGCTCCATTGCCTTTGACCCGGCCCTGGGCTCGCGTGTGTCTGCCATCTACGCCAACCCGGCCCAGCTCCCCCACCAGACCCCGGAGGAGATTGCCCACTTCATCACCCCGGCCGAGCCGCTGAAGGAGGGCACCGAGTTCAACCAGCTGGAGGTCCTGTCCCACATCAACCTCGATGGTGTCTTCGAGTTCACCAAGTTCTACGTCCGCCACACCGTCCCGGCCGCCGAGCCGGCCGAGGGCGAGGAGGCCCCCGCCGGCCCGACCACCGTTCGCGATGCCATCACCCTGCCCGTGGTGTACACCTTCCCCTCGCTGTCGGCCGAGCAGCTGAACCTCCTGCGCGAGCGCGAGAACGAGATGATCGCCGAGGACAAGCTTGTTTTCGACACCCTCGAGCGCAAGAACTCCCTGGAGGAGTTCATCTACCGCATGCGTGACCTGCTGGACACCACCCTGGCCGAGTATGTGGCCGAGGCCGACATGGAGGCCTACAAGACCCTCCTGCGTGACACCGAGGATTGGCTGTACGGCGAGGGTGAGAACGTCTCCAAGAGCGTCTACGAGGCCCGCCTGAGCGAGGTCCGTGTGCTCGGCGACGCGGCTCAGTACCGCTTCGACCAGGCCGAGGCCCTGGAGGAGGCCAAGAAGAAGTTCCAGGCCGGTGTCACCTCCATCGTCGAGCTGACCCGCACCCAGGAGGAGCGCTATGAGCACATCGACGCCGAGGCCCGTGAGGCGGTCATGTCCGCCGCCACCGCCGCCCTGGCCGACATGACTTCTCGCATCCTGGCCCAGCAGGCGGCTCCCAAGCATGCCCACCCGACCCTCCTGTCGGAGAATGTCGACGCGGCCCTGCGTCAGCTCCAGCTCCTGGCCAACAGCACCTTCTCCAAGCCCAAGCCCAAGCCCGTTGAGCCGGAGCCGGCCGCCGCCGCTCCCGAGGGTGCGGAGGCCGCCCCCCCGACCACCGACTCCCCCATGGAGACCACCGACGAGGGTTCCTCCGCCCCGGCCACCGACATGGACATCGACTAAGGTCAGATTCAAAGCCAGGGTCAGAGATCGGCAGGGAGAAAGAGGAGGAGGGGGTCCTCCGGCTGAGCGACAAAAAGAGTGCGACGACCCCCAAGAGGGGGGCTCTTTCTCTTTCCAGTGCCTTGCACCGGAAGGGGAGGATAAAAAAGGACCACAGGCGGGGAGAGGAAGGCGAATGTGTGCCGTCCTCTCCCCGTGGCCTGGCACTTTTCTCTCTCTCTCTCTCTCTCCCTCTCTCTCGCGCCGTGCGCCTGTGTGTACCCTTTTGTCTTGTGCATGCACGCGAGGCAGCGACGTCTCCCACCGCCCGATCTCTCTCTCTCTCCTTTCTCGGATCGGGTTTTACCCATTAGACCAGCCACAACTCCCTTAACATTCTGCTGTGCTTACATTTGCGCATTTGCCTACCTCATATACATCCATGTGCAAGTTCAGTATTCTCATCTTTTCCCCTCCAAACAATAAACCCAATATTTGCTGTTTCTCCGTGTCTCTCCTCCTCCCTCGTGGCATCAGGAGGCCGCCTGTGGATGTGTTGATGTGCGGCACGAAAAATCGCGTAATCCTCCTCCCTTCCCGGGGGGGAATAATGCCAGAAGAAAAGGGCCAGTTCCAAGGACAAAACTATATTCGAGCTCCGAGGCGCATGCGCGAGGGAAGGGGGGGGGGACACTCACTGGAGGAGGGGTGTGAAATCTGAAGAGAGGGGGAATCTAACAAGAGCGAGGGGGGAGGGGGCCAAAGCCAGCTTCGGCCTCGCTCGCGGGCTGCGGGAAGGCGGCCAGGGGCTCCGGGAAGAAGCCGAAGTTCTCGATGATCTGGGCGGCCGAGCCGCTCTCGACATCTGCGCGCCGGGGCCTGTTAGCATGGCGTGGCAGGGCATGGGGGGGGGGGGGGGGAGGGAGCGCGACTACTGGTCACGGCGGCCAAACCCGAACAGCGATCCCAGGGCATTCAACATTGTGCCCATGCTGCTTGAGGGAGAGCTCGGCCGGTCGGACGCCGTGGTGGCGGTGGACCGCTGTGAATGGAGCGACGAGTGGCTCGAGTACATTGAGTTGGTGCCGGTCCGGAGCTGCGGGCCGGGGGCTCCGCCACCGTGGGTGGCCGTGGGCGGCGGCGGCTGGTTCACCGACACACTGGAGGCCCCGCTTGACCGGAGACTGACGCCCGAGGTGCGTGACCGCGGCAGGGTCTCCGAGGCCATGTGCGGCAGATCCCCAGTGGACGCGGCCCCAGACAATGATCGACGCTGGTGGTCGGACTTGGTCCGGCTCAAGGCCGGGGCGGTGCCGGCCGCCGAGGCCAGTGACAAGTTGGAGGGGGAGCTGGTGATGACCATCGGCGGAGAGTCGGACCGGAAGGAGGAGGAGGTCCCGGCAGGGCCCATGAGTCGGGAGGTTCCGGACGAGGCCGGCGGCGGCATGCCACCACTTGGGGTCGAGTAAAAGACCGACGAGTCATCTGTGGCCAGGAAGGGGTCGCTCCCGCTACCCGAGCCACCGAAGAAGACCGACGTCCGGTCGAAGCTGCCCAGGTCCGAGAGAGACCCCGCGGCTGACCCGCCGACCGGCATGGCCGGGCTGCCAAAGGGATCGGCCACCGGCGACGAGTAGACTCCCCCATTGTGGTCCGAGGCTAGCATGACCGAGGCTGGGCGTGGTGAGGGCTCCGACACCCGACGCAGGGTGCTGCCCCCGCCAATGCCGGCTCCTGCACCTGAGGAGGAGGAGGAAGAGGAGGACCCAAAGGATCCGGTGCGGCCGGTGGCCGTCGGTGCAGCATTCGGCCCGGAGGATGACGACCCGCCCATCATGAAGACCGAACGCGGGCGCGAGGAAACCGGCTCCGACACCCGGCGGGCGTGTACAGCCACCGGGGGAGGAGGGTGCGTCGGGCCACGGGGCCCGGAGCCGGGCGAGCGACCATTCAAGTGGGACAGGGCCCGGCGGAGCTTATTTTCGCTGGCCGAAGATCCATTCACCATGTCGCTGGCACCATGGTCCGGGGTGTGGGGACCGGTGCCGGACACGGTCGGCGACGGGGGCACTGGGGAGGCGCCAGCGCTGGAACTGCCGCCTCCTTCGAAAAGCCCATCCACCGAGGCCCGCGGCCGGCGGCGATAGGTGAGGAAGCCCAGGCGCGAGGTGGAGCCGCTGCTGTTGCCACCGGCTCCGCCGGTTCCGTGGGAGCCACTGCCACCACGCTGCGCCACACTGCCGCCATTGGACCCGAAGCCGGAGCCGGCAAAGCTCAAGCGCGATCCCTCACCCAAGTTGAAGGTCGCGCCCATGGTCAAGGATGAGAGCGAAGGGGAGGTCCGGATGCCGGACCCACTGCTGGATGACTGCCGAGAGTGGGACCCATTGTCCGGGGGCTCCAGCGCGTAGGACATCTGGTAGAGCTCGGCATCCGAGGAGGACGACCCGTGGATGTGCTCCCAAAGGATGCGAGGCAGATTGAGGCTCAGCATGTTCCGATAGGAGATGGAAGCCGCCTGAGCACGGGAAATGTCCAGCAGGACATTCCCCAGCAGGGTGCACTTCTGCCAGTTGATGCGTCGCTTGGTTGTCAGCGTCTGATTGCCCTCCAGCATGAAGGTCAAGTCACTCATGAGAATCGGGATGACCGGGATGACGGGCGGCCGGCAGTGATCCGGCTGCGAGAGAACCGACGCCAGCATCGGCCGATAGTTCCGGTAGTTGCTATCCATCGCGAAGACCTCGGAGATGCGCCGGTAGGGGGCCATATGGCGGGTGCGCAGCCCGCGGAAGGTTTGTGCCAGACGGCTGATGGATGTGTGCGACAGGGCGCAGTGGATGGCAAACAGCGAATTGAAGTTCTTCAGGAGATAAAGCTCCTGCATCAAGCCGAGGGGGGGGGGGGGAGGGGAAGAGGAAAAGGAAAATGCAAGGGAACGGAGGCAGCCAAGGCAAAGTCAATATGCAAGCCATGCAGCCACGTCTACACACACACACAGACACACAAATGCAAGAAGTCAGAAAGACGAGGACGCACCTGTAGGACTTCGAAGAAGCAGAGGATCATCTTGCGGCGGATCTCAACCAGGTCCACCCGAAGGATGCAGCGCATGACCCAGTTGGTAAGCTGGTTGGTGTGCGTGATGAGGCGCTGCAAATTCGGGGAACTCTGCTTGTCCGTGATGGCGGTGAACTCCGCCAGGCGGATGGCCCGGAAGAGATCCGCATCAATGGCAGTGAGGTGGTGTGCCAGCGACCGAGGGCCGGTCTTCATGACAAAGGAGGTCGAGCAGAAGGGCGACGTCGGGCGCAGCTCCGGGTAGCAGAGCTTCAATGAGTCCAACTGGGCCAAGCCATGGGCATAGTTATCCTCCATCTTTTGCAGGGAGCTGGAGATGCGCTTGGCTCGATCCGGCTCGAAACTGTGAATTTCCTGGGCGATGAAACGCCGCACGTCGTCGATGATTTCCGGCAGGGGGATGATATCAAACTGGAGCCCCTCCGCGATCCAGCGCTCACTGCATGAGAGTGTGCGTGCGTAGTTGTGTGGCCAAGGTAAAAGAGCGAGCGGGAGGGGGTGGGAGGCAGAGGGATGTCGGTCAGAGATTGGTCCAGCTGGGAAATGGAGAGATGGACAGATGAACCGGAGACAGAGCACCGGGGGGGGGGGGGGGGGACTCTGGCGGGCAAGAGAAACGGCCAAAAGAGCAGGCCACAACGCACAGGATGTTACAGACCAGCGTTTGGACCGGATCAACGACCTGAATCTGATAGAGAACAGGGTTGATGTGGCTCGGGCAGGGCGGGACATTGAACCTGGAGAGGGAGAGCCGGGCAAAGAGCAGCGAACGTCAGGACATGCAAAGGCAGGGAAAGGGAGAGGGGCACGTGTGGCCAAAAAGAAGAAGAAGAAGAAGAAGAGAAGGAGGAGGAGCAAGCCAAGAGAACAGAGCACGCACCGCTCGACGAGCTTCTCCAGGAAGAGACTCGGCGACGAGAACAACTGCAGGGTAAGCAGGAAGACATTCAGGAAGTTCTGGCTCGACGCATAAGTCAGATGATAAGGCGAGGTCAGGAAGATGACCAGGCTGTTGAACTTGGCCGAGTGAACAGCCCATTCATCCGTGGTCGGGTGGAAGATCTGCACCGAGTCCGTCTCATTCCAGATGTTGTTGGGCCCGAGGCCCGGCAGGTACCACCGCTCCGGGGGCATGGTGGTCCCTTCCTGCGACTGCTGCTGGAAGGAGGCCACGACATTCATGAATTCCAGGTCCCCGCGTTCGAGGATGATGTCGGAGGAGGGAGCCGTCACGCCGGTGTTGATCGCCGAGGTGGCAGCCGAGCCGACACAGCCACCGGACGACAGGAGGGCCCCTTGACCCAGAGCCCGCTCGATGTCCGCACTCATGAGCGTGGCATACTCGGCGGAGGTTCCGGCCAGGTTGGTGGTGGATGATGCGGTGGAGATGAGCCCGCTTCCGGGAATGCCGGCGGTACCGCCAAAACCATCAAGCAGGTCCAGATCCGAGTCCAACGAGTGGCGGGATGGCGATCGCAGTGGCAGCGAGGGGGTTGACCGGGCACTGAGGCCGGATGTCGGGACGGATGGCGTGCGCGGGCTGCCGGGCACCCCGCCGAGGGCCCCAGGCAGGGCTTCCGTCGAATGGGATCCCATCAGTTGGCCAGACACCAGAGGGGTGATCGGACTGCTGGGCGAAGTGATGGAACGAGTGATGGATGTCGGGCTGGACACCTTCGGGGGAAGATCGGCCGCTGACAGGGGAGCGCCATCGCCACCGGAGTGGGGGATGGTGATGATGGGCGCTGGCGAAGGGCCCAAGTCAGGCCGAGCGGAGGCCCGGCCGAGGACATACACGCGCGACCGCCGGCGCTTGAGCTGGCTGCCGACGGCAGTCTCAGGAGCACCACCGATCGAGAGAGACTGCTCCGAGCCACTGGACGCCAAGCGAACCGAAGCCAGCAGCTGCGAGGAACTACTGCCAGGCGAGGCCCCCCCGGGGGTGAGGGCGCCCCCGCGCGAGTCGTCCAGCCTGGCCGCCGAGCTGGAGGACTGAAGGACCAGCCCCCCGCTGGAGGGCGAAGGAGACACAGACCCGGACAGCGAGGAGCGTGGCACGCGCTGCGAGTGGGACACACTGCCGGGGGACAGCGGCGCAGGAGAGGACGCACGCAAGTGCTCCGCGCTGTTTGAAGAGGCGACCAGCGGCACGAGTCCGGCCTGCCATGATGGAGAGCACATGGGGAGGGGCAAGTTAGCGCGTGCACGAGAGCCAAAGCCCGCCGCCAAAGGCACGGATAAAGAGGCCGGAGGAGGGCACAAAGAGGATGGCCAGGGGGAGAGGAGGGGCAGGGGCACGCACGGTGTCCTTGAGCGAGTGATTGCTCATGCTTCGATGCGGTGCCAGGGGCAGGTGCTCCGGAACACCGAGCATCGGGGTCGACAATTGACTGTCATAGTCTGTGGCCGAGAAGGAATCCCCGGAAGGTGAGTCATCCTCCCCGGGGAAGCGATTCGGCGGCCGCATGGCCGGCGACGAGGGGTTCGATGTGTTGCCGGCAGCCGCGGCCACGGCCAGTGGGTCGAGCGAGGTCTTGACGCGCAATGACGGGGGCAGAGCCGAAGCCGCGGCCGGGGCATGGGACTGCACCAGGAGAGAGGCCCGGATGTCATCCTCCTCGCCATCCTCCTCGGCCATGGAGGAGATGGCAACCGAGGGACTGCCCGGGACGCCGCGAGACATGGCGGCCAAATGGCCGCTGCCCGCCAGCATGTACGGACTCCCCGGGGCACTGTCGGACTCGGGAGCCGTCGAGGCAAGATGCTCCTCCTCGTCCTCCTCGTCGGCAACACCGTCGTCCTCCTCCTCCTCCTCCTCTTCCTCGGGAATGGTGGTCACCTTTTCCAGCGGCCGGATCGGGGCCATTTGGGCCATACCAGCCCCACTGCCAGCTGGCTCCATGGCTGCAAGCGATGACAGAACCAAACTGGACCCCAGGTGCGAGGTAGAGCCCAGGGCATTGATGCCGGTGCTGCTGCTGAAGAGAGAAAAATGCGAGAGGTTCACGGTGGACGAGCCGGCCTGGGCCACGGCCGCCAGGGCCGAGCGGCACCGCTCAAAGCGCCGATCCTGCAGGGTGGCCGCAATGGCACGGATCTCCTCCATGCGCGTGGCGATTTCACGGGCCGAGAGGCGATCGAGGAGTCGGCCCGAGTGCTCGAGCGTATGCAGGAAGAAGCCGAGGAAGCCGGAGTGCCGCAAGCGTTGGAGCTCGCGCTGGACCACCGCGTGCAGATCGGAAATGAGAAGATGGATTTCCTGGGGGGGGGGGGGGGGGGGGGAAAGTGACTGGTGTTAGAAGGGACAGCAAGTGAAATGACAAGCATGGGGCGGAAGGGGCAGGAGGAGGCGCAGGGAAAGACGTACCTGAATGGTGCGGAACACCTGTCGGTGCGTGCTCGGATTTTCGCTCTTGTCGGAGAGATAGCTGTGGACAGGCATATGGATGTGTCAGCAACCGGGCGGGAGGGGGATGGCAGGGAAGGGGGCACGCAAAGGAAGAAAGAGGGGAGAGGGACCGAGAGAGAGAAAGGGAGAGAGAGGTGGGAGGAAGAGGCATTGGGCATGTTGGGAATGGCGGCGTACATCTCGATGTTGCGCATGAGGGTTTTGTTGACGAGACTCAGCCGATCGAAAAAGCCGTTGAGCTCGGACTCGAGGGCCGGCGTGCTGGTGGTCTGCACCGACACAAGCGAGCAAGATTCGGCCAGCCTTTGGAGCAGTGGGCGAAAGAGGCACGCAGTCAGCAGGAGAGATCCAGCTAGATAGGGGAGAGGAAGGCACGCAGGAAGCCAAGGAGCATGAAGGGAGCGAGGAGGGGGGGCGAGGTGCTTGGCGCAGGCACGAACCGAGCGATGAAGACCGACGCCTTGTTAAAAGACACGGCCAGGCTCTCCTTCACATGGCGCGTGTCCTCGCAATTGGCGGTTGCCGAAACGACGGCCAGCAGGGCCTCATTACAGAGGGCACAAAAGTAGAGGCAGAGATCTGAGTCGCGGGGCAGGATCGAGAGGAAGGTGAAGTGCGCCACATCCACGGCCAGGCAGCTACAAAAGAGGCGATATACAGGCAAGAGAGAGAGAGAGGGGGGGAGGGAGGGAGGGGGGGAGGGAGCGAGATGGAGAGGCGGGGAGAGGTTAGCGATGGCCATCACCAAGAGGAGAGGAGGAGGGGGGGGGACGGGAGAAGGGGCCCAGCACGGGAAGGGGAAACCATACCTTGCCACAATGAGGCGACTGGCGGCACTGCGCACGGCATCGATGGCGTCGGGATCCAGCGTGCGGCTGGAGAAGATGGTCAAATCACTGAGAAAGGTCTCCAGATGGATGAAGTCCGATTCGAGGAGGTTCTTGAAGGACAGATGCGGGCCGACATTGAGCTGCCCGGACACGCGCCGCAGCCAGTGTGACTGCTTCTTGAAGGCACTTTGAGAAGAGCGGCCGAGCATGCGTCCAGGCAGATGGGAATGGAATGGCAGGCAGGCACATTAGAGAGACACAGCGGGCGGGGAGAGAGAGAGAGAGAGAGAGAGAGAAGAGGGGCGTGGACAATCGGGAAGCCAAAAAGGTGTGTCGCCAAGGAGACGGCACACAGCCAAGGGGGCGAGAGGAGGGGGTACGACGCACCTTTGCGACCGGGCAATCAGGTTCTGGGCGGCGATCTGCAAAATGTCCTCATCAACGTCGCGGTGCAGCTGTAGCAGCAGTGTGGCCGCCAGGTCCAGGAAATCCGGGGCAGTGTGGCCGAAGGCCCGGGGAATGGACGGATCGGCGATCGGATCCGAGTCGCCGGCCGGGGCTGGCTGCTTGCCGCCGGAGCCGGGCAAAGCCGCGGCCATGGACGAGCTGGGAGACGCCAGTCGAGGGCCGCCAGCTTCAGCCGAGGCGCGTTGGAGTCGCCGCTCGGACGACATGGTGGGCGGCGAGAGGCAGAAGGCCTACAATCGGCAAGTGCAGTGGGGAGAGGGGGGAGACGGGGGCGGCAGCGGCAGCAGCGGCGCAGCCAGCCAGCAGGCGCTCTCTCCGTGCCGTGTGGAGCGCGGGGCTCTCAAGAGAAGAGAGGGAGGAGAGGAGCACACGGAGCGGGGACAATCGAAGGCCGGTGCGGTGGGAGGGACAGAGAGGGAAGGAGAGGAGGGGGAAGGGGGACGAAAGGGGCAGGGGGAGAGAGAGAGAGGGGGGGGGAGTAGACAGAGGAGACGGATAGGGGAAGGCCGAGGGGAGGGGACAGAGGGGGAGGGAAATGGTGATGGTAGATGGCAATCTGCCGCGACGCCCGGTCAGGGAGGGCGCACACGGAAAAGTGGGGCCCAGGATCTCAAGGCCCACCTGGTGGGGTGCATTACCCCCCCCCCCCCCCCTCGCCGCTTCATCCGTCCGCCCGTTTGTGCATTTGTGCCTCCTCCTCGCATCATCGGGTCGGGGGGGGGGGGGAGGCCGAGGGAGAACGCATCCTGGACTTGCGGCTTCTGGCCCCCGGCCCCGCCCCCCGCCCCCACAGATGGGAGCCACAACGAGAAGACCTGGGCGGGGAAGGGGGGCTAAGAATTGGGACCCCTTTTTCTCCGGGCTCCTGCCCCTCGCTGAGGGAGGGGTCTCCAGCCAGGGGGCGGCGGGGGGGGGGGGAGGGCAGAGCACCGAGCCGCGCGGGAGTGGTATGCCTGGACGTGTTGTGCAGTCGCCCCCGGCCGGCTCCTCTGCAGGCAGGCAGCCCAGCGCTGCCCGTCGCAGTGGGGACGAGCCAGGCCAGCCGAAGGCCCAGAAGCAGCCTCCAACTCATGCACCCATCTTGCGAAGAAAACATAAAACAATATATATTTTTTCATTTCTCGTTGAATGTTCCCCCTTTCGCGTCGACTCCCCGCCGGGCCATCACCGTTTCAGGGCTGCTTGAGGGGAGGGCGGTTCTGTCTTCCTCCTTTCCTCGGGAGGAGGCCTGGACCCTGGGGCCACACCGGGGCCTCTTCGGCGGTGTCAGCCGGGCGCGGATCGCCGGATCCGGCGTGGAGCGGTCCCTCCCCGCCCCTCCCCCCCCCGGACGACCTGCCGCTGAGGCCGGGCGGCCTGGCCGGCGCAAGGTGGGGGCGATCCGCCAGTTTGTTGCTTTTATTTTTGCACCCCCCTCCACGCGCGCGCGCGCGCGCGCGCGGAACCTTGTGGAGGAGAGGGGCGCGACTCGGCGCCAGGCCGTTGGGCGTGAGTCGATCTGCCCCTCCGGGGGGGCTTGGCGGCAATATCCACATTTTGGGCCCATGCGCGAGCAGTGCCCCCCCCCCTCCCCCCGCACCCTCTTCTGTTCGTAGCGGGGCCGGGAGATGCGGGGGGGGGGGGGGCGGGCCTCGAGAATCGCTCGGCGGCCGGTCGGGCGGCCCGCCGGATCCTGGCGTCCCCGAGGACCCGCAACGTCGCCCCGATGCCCGGCCCCCCGAGGCGGCCGCGACTGTGACTGGGGCCTGGAGTTTGGCCGAGACCTTGTCCCCCTCCCCCCTGTCTCCCCCGGGTTCGGTGGCGGCCTGACGGTCGTGAGAGAATAGAGTGTGCCGGCATTCCGGCCTTCGTCTCGTGCTCGGCATGCCGCCACGCTCGATTAGGCAGGGGCATCTTGTCGGCCTGGGTGTTTCGGTGCGCGTTTTTCGCCTGAGCTGGCTGAAGGGGGCCGAGAACTGCCGGGCCGGTTCTCTCGGCCAGGCTAGGAAGCCCCGCCCCCCCCCCCCCCTCCCGGGCGCGAGTTTTTCATCCGCGCGCGTACGTGCGCATGCCCACCGGAAGATGTGAGGCGGGGGGGCCTCCCCAGACGAGCGCCGCCCGTTCGCGCGCTCCATGCCCGTCCCGCGGGGCCTCGAGGACTGGGGAGGCACGAGAGGCCCTGCCCGGCTCGGCGGCACCTCCCAGCCCCGGGGAATATAACCGAAGACACGCGGCCGCTTCGGGAGGGGGGGGGGGGCGGGTCCAGGCACCCTAGGAACAAAAGTGCCGGCCAAGGGCAGGCCTCTCGGCGCCGCGGCAAGTATGTCTCGGGGCAATCTCCCAGCCTCCTCCCCAAGCGGTGGTCTGAAAAAAAAAAAAGAAGAAAAAGTCAGCACCACCCTGTTGCGTGGGATGGCATCTCCCCCTGGCCGATGTCCGCCAGCGGGCCGCGCTCCCTGGGGTCCTTCAAATACCTGTAGCCCGCGCGACCGACCCGGCCTCTGTGCCCCTCCGCCCCTCCCCCCCTCCCACTCCGGGGCGCAAGGGCGAGTGGTTCTGCAGGTGTGTTGAGCTGCTCCGGAAAGGGTGTGACTGGCCGGGGCGCGCAGAGGCATCTACACGCCCCGCCCTGCGACAAACACGGCCCTGGTCGTGTTGGGAAGGGGTGCGGCTCGTGGCGCTGGCGAACCCCCGTTTTCAAGGTCCAACGGTCCGCCCCCCCCCCCCTCCAGACCAACTGGCCTTGGGCCTTGACATCGTCCATCGGTCCGAGAGCCGGTGCCCCGCGGATCATCATTTGCCTCTTTCCGATCTGTTCCCCCCCCCCCCCCCCCCCGCCCGCCCGCCCCGTCTCTGTCTTCCGTGCGTTTGGGGGCCCCAGCGGGCCCGCGAGGCCCACGCACCAGGTGGTGGGAGAACCGGTTCCACTGCCCCGCCTCTGCCCCCGATGCCTCAGCTGACTTACATGCGGCACTGCGGAATTCAATTTCCCACTCTGCTCTTCGCCGATTGCATTCAGCCTGGGGCTCCTCTTTCGCACGGGCACGCGGGAGTGTCCCGGCACCCCGGGGGCCGTGTCCGAGACCTCCCAGCTTCAGTAGGGGTCCGGGGGCCAGTACAGGCTGGAACGTCGTTTGTCCCCGCCCTGCCTCCCCCCCCCCCCCCCAGACTCTGGCAAGATGGTCCGCCTCGTGTGTGGCGTCGCATCAGTACCGAGTGCGACGCCCGTGGTCCGAGGCTCATGCCATCTGAGCCCCCTCTGACGGTCTGGCCGGCGCCGGTCGAGCCCAGGCCGGCCTGCGGCCCGAGGGGAATCGGTTGTCGCTCGCGGCGGTGGTCCGATGGCCCAGGCCCCCTTCACCCTTGAGATGTCGGGGAGAGAAGATCATGGCCCGAAGCTGCGCCGACTTGCGCAACGCGAAGGACAGATCTGACGGGCAGGCGCGCGCGCGCGTGGGCCGGGGCGGACTCGTTGTACTCGCCTTGCCCCGGCGGGCGCTTGAGCCCACGGCACATTGGCGTCAGTTGAACATTCGCGCTTGCCCACCGTCATATGGAGTTCGCTCCGGTGGCTGGCGCGTGCTCACGGGCCTGGGGGGTCGGCCCCCTCGACCGGATCTCGGCCCGCCGGGTTGGGCGTGCTGTCAGGGCGACGTGTCGATCCCGGAAAAGGCGGCCCCCGCTCTGATCTCCGGCCCGGCCCGGCCCGGCCCGGCCCGCCACACTGCCCAGGGCCGCGGGCAGAGAGACCGGGGTCTGTGCCCCGCTTGCCCCCACAACAGGAGGGGCTGGGCAATCCCCCTCGGCCACACATCTGTCAAGGCCCCCCCCCCCCCCCCCCCCAGCCGCCCCTTGTGCTTGGGGGCGGGAGGGGGGGGATCCGTGCGGGCTTGCCTCCCTAGGGGCGCATTGCCCGCCTTCCGCCCCGCTCGAGTGCGGGCCCCGCCTCACGGTTCCAGCATGTCGGAAATGAAGGGAGGAACAACGAACCCATCAGAACCATCCATGTGATCCAAAGGCTCAAGAACAACGGCCCGACTTCATGTCGGCATCTGATGCTGATTGATGATCACGCCATCACTAGCCACGAGTCTCCTTCACACCCCTCCAGGTGCCAACGAACAGGACACTCGAACCACCCACCCGGTCGCAGCATGGCGCGTTGCATGGGCGCTTTCGATCAGGGAAGGACCACCTCCCCCCCCGGCGGAGGGGCGGGGGGGGGGGGGGGCTCCCAGCAGGCGGATTCCCTGCGTCGGGTGCCGAACATCCTTGGGTGGCCCCAAGTGGGTCTCGCGGGTGGAGGAGACCGTTCGTGATGCCCTGTCTTCTGGCGGAAAGGGTGTTGCCACATGCTGGCTGCCCCGGGCGTGCCTGCCCGGCGTCCTGCCCTCCGGAGGAGAGTGATTGAAGGCCATGCTTCCCGTATGAAGTCCCCCCCCC